GCTGATTGCTTAAAATGCAACCACATTCACAGCTGCAGAGGAAGTTTGAGGTGGCTGCCAATCTGTGGTTCTAATTTATTTGTCTGCAATAATTCGATCACTTCTTCAAATTTTAATTTGGCGGTTCGTGGTAGGTCTGGTTGTGGCTGGAGCTACTAGTAGGGCGTACTTCACAGGCCTTTGTCTTGCAAGCTAATGCCTGGAACATTGAATGCCAATATCATTGATTTTTTTTTTTTTGTGGGGGGTGTGGTGTGGTGTGGGGCGGCGAGGGGGTTGAATGCAATTGGATTTAAAATTTGCTGCCCAAAGAAAAGGCATTTTAGATATTTTGTTGTAGAAATGCCCTCTTCTAACCAACCAGCCAGAAAAATCAAAAAAATAGCTAGTGTTTCATATATACCTAAACATCTCTCTCATTTATTTCACAGTTCTTAGATTATGTATTAATTCATAACATGTTGTTTAGTCCAATTAAGAAGTTGATTGTTTCGATTTAATTAGTAGGACTAGTTCGGTTTAGTCCAATTAAGAAGAGATGTATTTTTTGTTCCTACTCTACAAAGCTAGCTCCTATACCTAAAGGAGTCTTTTACTACATTAAGTTTAAGACAATTTTTTCATCAATAAAATATCAATTTTTTAAAAAAAAAATTTATAGCTACAGTGTCAAATTCTTTTCATAAAAATACCAGAATTAAAAAAATGTTCAAAAGGGTAAAAAATCTTGGATTCAAATCTCGAAGAGAATTTTGTGCCTCCTGCCCTCTATTTCATCCACACTCTGGACAGATGATTTAAGGCAAGATCAACTTTCAATCTCTTTCACTTACGTGCTATTTTTAATCAAATTGTTACAACCAAAACATAATAACCAAAAATGTTTTCCTTTTCGAGTCAGGTCAACATAGAAGGTCACGGTAACCCATGTTATACGTTTCCTATCAATGTTATCTGACAGATTTTGTCTCAGACTTGCCCACAAATGGCGTAGTAGTACTACCCTTCTACTGTGAAATAAAGCTTTCAACGGATCCAAATCTTCCATATTTGAGTGGGTCCTGAGTCGGTCTGTCTTGCCTGAAGGTCGGTCTGTCTTGCCGGAAGGGCTAGGCAAACTTTTCCTTCCAGTCTTTGCTGCTGGAATTCTTGATAAAGTGTTAGAAGACAACACCATGTGATCCCCTCATCAACCCATTGTCTCTCTCATTACTGTTCAGACCCCAGCAACTGCCCCTTCACCACTCATTCCACATCCCCCACTTAATAGAGGAAACAAATCCCTTGTACCCTTTTCATCTATATATACAAGTACGAAAAAGTCCATTGGCAACACATATTTTCACATTCTCAAGTACTAGTAAAGTTCTTTACCAACGCTTTCCAAGCTTTTTGAGATCTTCCTCGTCTTCCTTTCCAAAGGCACACATCCATCACGAAAATCATGGCTATCCGCCTTCCTCGTGTTGTTAGTGCTACGAAAGTTCCCAAGGGCTACTTTGCAGTTTATGTTGGAGAAAACCAGAAGAGGTTTGTGATACCAGTGTCATTCTTGAACCAGCCTTCTTTTCAGGATCTGCTCAGCTTATCAGAAGAAGAGTTCGGCTATAGTCATCCAACTGGCGGTCTCAGAATTCCCTGTGATGAAGACGTCTTTCTTGATGTCACCTCTCGCTTGCATTGATTAGGAGAGAATTAACACTAATCAACCTATGCAATTTTGTAGAGCAAGCTAATACCATGTAAACAAACTGTTTTTCCCATCCTTTTTGCCTTGGGGAGCAGTTATAATTCTCCCTAAGTGGAAAGTTAGAGATGGTATTACTGTAACTTCTACCAAACCACTCAATCAATTTGGAAAATGACATTATGAAAAGCATGATTCAATTGAAATTTTGTTTCTTTTAGAATTTTCTATTGTCTCTTTTTCCTATTTAATCTTTAATTTAATTGTACATGATTTATTTTTATCTAAAATTACTTCACACTACTAATTTCATTTTAGGTATCAGTTACCTTCTCAAAAGATTAAATCCATCATAATTCTTTTTGGGATAAAAAATAGAAATTTTCATCTGTAAATTTGACAATTAATTAAGATATATATAATGATTTGAACCCTTTGGACCAACTAGTTATTTTACAAGTGGATGACATAACTTATAGCACCTCCAAAGCAGGGGTTAAATCATATAGTTTGGCTCAAGGCAATAAAATAAAAGAAAAGAGGTAGGGGGGCAATCCACATTTATCAGAAATATCACAAACTAAACTCTCCTAATCCAAACTTTTGTTTCACATTATTCCATTGAAACCAACATGATTCCATTACCATCTTTGCGATTCTCTAACTCAACTCTTGTATCTGCAACCAATTAATTAGACAAATGATGCTTTTCAAAAGAAATTAGACAAATGACGCAATGCAACATCATCAAGTAGCTTTTATACCGTTTTGAGTTGAACAGGGGACAACCAACTCCTCTTTTTTCTACTTCATGTGATTAAAATGGTAGTCCTTCACCATATACTCGGAATGTGGTTGGGCAACATCTCCATTCTGATGACCAAGATCGTTGAACAAGTCAAATAGTCACTCCTAGAGTCAGCTCAGGAATTCACCCATGTACTATTGCTGCAACATTGTTCAAGGAAAGAAAAATAAAGTCCCTGACCTGTAACTTGAAAATGATTTATTTTTTATATTTTCAGTCATTCTGCACCTGTATTTTTTTAGTTGACTGATAGAATGAAATTCAATTTTTGACAATTTTTTCTGGATTTGATCATTCTGAGAACAAATCACATGCTTGGTGGCTTAATGTTCCCATAAAATCTTTCATCCGTTGGAATTAGAACCCAGTTTTTATAATCACTTCTCTAGGTTGTGTCGAGCAGCATCATCACATGAGCCGATTACTTCCTTGTTCTAATGTCCAGTGGTGCTGCAAATAAAGAGGGTATAGATTGCATGCAAAATATTTGTCCTAAGTGGATTGCATGCAAATGTTGACTTGATCATATAAACTAATCCACATAATTGCCCCTACAATTCATCCATTAACAGAACTGATAGATTATATTACCAGCAGCTGGTCCAAAGAGATAGTAATTCAGGGTGGGACAGCCTCTGGTTTGTTCTGCGAAGTGGTGGGTTATGAATTATGATCATGGATCTCAAAATAATAGAAATAATATGAAATTCTATGTTTCAAATTTGTTCACTTTCTGGAAGGCAAATCCATGTGAATTGTGACGGTTCTCACATGATATATGTTAACGGACCACATTGACAAGTTTCGATTCACTTGTCGTAGGAATGTAGGATTTACCATTTGCTCTATATATAGTAATAGAAAGGGTGCTTCCCACTGTCTGATATTTATTATTTTTATGCTTTAGCTATTAAGCAGCCTTAGCTTGTTTATGCTAAGCAAATTATCCAAAGAGTGACAGCAGCTTCAGAAATACCCAGAGGCCACCTTGCTGTTTATGTTGGTGAATCCCAAAAGAGGCGCTATCTGATTCCAGTTTCATTCTTGAAGAACCCTTCATTTTAAGAACTGCTAAATCTGGCAGAGGAGTTTGGCTTTGATCTTCAGTGGGTGGTCTCACAATCCCCCTGTGCAGAAGAAGCCGTCATTGAACTTGCTTGTAGCTTGAATGGCTCAAGAGAGGCAACACAGATACGATGATGGCTAGTCTAGAAAACAATGACTTTCTGACTTTTTTGACTGAAAAATCTCAACCCCAGTTTTGCATCAAGAGTATTACGTACTCCAACTTACTGTAAATTTCTTTATTTTTTTTATTTAATTTTTTCTGTCAAGGAAAATTATAGTCAAAATTCACCATCCGAAGATGAATGAACTTTTTTACTTCAGTTTTGGCCTCTATTTCTATCTTTGTTTTCTTTTTAAATAATGTCTATATAATATATTGATGTCATTAATCATGTATATTTTGCCATTCGATACTACAATTCTATGTCTCATTCTTCTACCAAAACTAGATCCAATTTACAGGTCACATAACTTTTTACAGAGAGTGAATTTTTCTTGATGCTCTAAATCTGTCCTTAATTACATTACAACTAATTTCCTTTTGAGTTTTGATCTTACATATTATCCAGAGTTGGGATAACAACGATGTGAGAACGAGGCTTTTATAGTCAATATATGCAGATAACGCAACAAATATGCTCAGAAATGTGGGTTAAAACAGGAGTCTTCTGTACAATCAAATAATAAAAAAAGGGATTCTTCTGTAAGGTTACCCATATAGTTGGCGACATATACCAGAATTTCGTGATTCGTCAGGCTTAATCATTCTCTCCCAGGGCATAACTTGATTGCAGCAAGACATAGACAACGATTAGAATAAAAGGCAATTAGTTAGGTTCTGATGAGGTCTGATTGCAGCTTGTAGGACACACTTCAGGCGCTCTTCAGAAAGGTTTGTCTTACAAGTTAATCCGCCGAAGGAACACAAGCATGTGATTTGAATTGGGACATGTTATAAATAGTACTTCAGCGGCTGCCAGCTTTGGTGTTTGTTATTGTTTAAGCATCTTGTATGGCTGTATAAATGCCTTGGAAAAAGTCCAGCAAGATTGCTTAAATCTTCAGGAGGACCAAAAAGCTAGTCCAACTGGATGGTCTGTTGATATGAACAAACGACAATTAAGTCAGGGCCGATAACCAATTTATGCAGACAAAATTTCGTATGAAGAGGTCTGTTAGGTCGACCCCAAATATATTTAAATCACATGTATATTTACTATCTTACATCTCCTTGATTTCAAGTGGGCCATTCTTCGAGGATTGCTGGGCAATAATGCATTCTAACTAATGTACAGTCTCAATAGTCATTTATTTCTTGATGATTTGTTGGAAGACACAGCCATGTGATTCTGGGCTTCGTATGTCTTTCAACCAAACCCCACCAGAATGCATCTTGACCACTCAATCTGCAGGTCATTAGTTTCATATATACATTCTTCCATCTATATATACAAGTGCATTATCCACACCGCAGCCAAGGCATTCTCACATCCTCCTCTAATAGCAAATCCTAGCATTCTAGTTTCTAGTCTTCTCTGATCTTCCTCGTACTCCAAATTACTATTGGAAATGACTATCCGTGTGCCTGGAATTATGCACGCTAGGCGTATTCTTCGTCAATCTAAACTGTTTGCAAATCAAGCAGCCTCCACCTCATCGGATGTTCCCAAAGGATTCGTTGCAGTTTATGTTGGGGATAGCCAAAAGAAGCGATTTGTAGTTCCAATTTCAGTCTTGAATCAGCCTTCATTTCAGAAATTGTTAAGTATTGCTGAGGAAGAATTCGGATACAATCATCCTATGGGTGGTCTCACAATTCCTTGCAGAGAAGAAGTCTTCATTGATCTGACTTCCCGCTTGCATGAGCTTGCTACAGCTAAAATTAAGTAACCAACAGATACAATTTTTTTGTCCATTGATGTACATACTTCTGTTTCTTTGGCAGAAAGAGATGATGAGCAAATGTATACCCTTCTGACAAATCTTTTTAATACAACTTACAGTGGTTCAATTATCAAATTTTACTTTCTCTTATTCTAATTAAAAACATTGCTCCTGTCCCAGATAGAGTGCTACATTTTTTTTTTGAAAGTTGCACAATGACGAATTTTCAAGTACTATTAGTCATTAAAATAAAAAATGACTGCAATCCTTCAATTTCTTGAGTTATTAACAAGCTGTGAGGATCCATTGCCATCAAAATCCACTTATCTCCAATTTTCGTGTCTAAACATGGAACAATCAAGTAATAGCATTGACAGCTTACCGTAAAACTTCAATGTCAAGAATATAACATATGCTATTGTTGTAAGTCAATCTTTAATTATCGGATACAACTAACAAAAATCTGAAAAGCAATAATAACTTGGCAATCCAAAACCCCCCACAAAAAAGAAAAGATACGAATTTTAGATAGATGGGCTTAGATCAAATTTGGGTTGAAACGAGCTCGAGTTTCATAAGGACAGGCCCTTTAGTGAAAAGGTCCTCTGCCCAACCCATTTTGCATCTACAGGTACAAGCCCTCTTAATTGGGGAGTGAAGGAGCAGGCTAGTAGACTTTATCAGTTTGAAAATTTTCCTTTTGCTAAGCAAATTATTAAGAGATAAAATAAAATCTTTGGATTTCTAAGTGTACTTTAGTTAATTCAAACCCAAGATCAACCCCAAAATTTTTCAAAATTGGAAACTATTTCAGAAAGTGTCATTGCACCCAATTGTTTGACAACCTTAAATTTGCATTCCTTAAATCCTAATAAAGAAAATAACGAAAAACATTATATGTAAATAATTTATACTAATCCAAAATCTAACATAGTAGAAATTTGGAACGCACCTAATATCTAATCCATAGTTTAATAATGAAAATAATACAGTAAAAATAATACTAATCAAATTAACTGTTGATACTCGATGTATTAAGATCTTTCTTTTTTTTATTTTATGATTCTTCAATGAGTAAGATCTTTATGTCATTGTAGATAAGAGAGGGGATTTAGCCTTACCTTTATATTGTGAATCCTTAGTCTCACTCATCATAAGATTTAGGATTTCTTATACAAACTTACACTTTTAAACTGACATATAATATTAGAGTTTAGTCCACTTTATTAAGATCAAATTATCTTAACTTAGTTTTAACAAAATATGAAAATAAATAATATAAATCAACGTAAAGATTTTACTAAAAAATCTAATAAATAAGACTAATTTAAGACAATAGAATGTCCAGATGAATTATGCGTTTCAGGAAGACAAGGACTAGGCCAACCATCTTTTCCCCTTTTCTTTAGAGCGCGTCAATAAGTTCTCTCTTCAAATAGAAACTCACGAAACATATTTCTTTACCATGTTCCTAATCAAAACGACAGACAGTTAGGTTAGCGTTATGTACGGCCATCGAGCATCCAACTGTCAATTCCTAATCTTTAGCTTGTCTACCATTGGCCTTCATCCTACACTGTAGGGCCTTTAGCTTCTCAACATACACATACAATACAAATCCCGAGGCCCCATCTTTGTTAATTAGCTGGTAAACAACACCATGTGAAGGCCGAGGCTACCACGAATTACGTCCCAAACAAGCAAACCCCAGAAAATGATTCTCACCCTTTCAGTTTCACTTCAACAATCATAGCATTTCCTGTAGGCTTCAACCATTCCATCTATATATATGTATATTCCCTCATTTCTGTCACAGGCTCATCATACATAACTCACGAGTTTTCTTGATCTGGCAATTCTCTTTAATCTTTTGTATGCTTGAAACTCAAATTTATCATCAGAAGCAATGGCTATTCGTTTTCTTGCTAAGCAAATTTTGCGCCGTTCAGTTTTTGCTGCAAGTAAAGCAGCCTCAACAACTGGAGATGTAGTACCAAAAGGCTTCCTTGCAGTTTATGTTGGAGAAACCCAAAAGAAGAGATTTGTGGTTCCACTAACTCTGTTGAACCAACCTTCATTTCAAGCTTTGCTGAGTAAAGCTGAAGAAGAGTTTGGCTTTGATCATCCTATGGGTGGTTTGACAATTCCATGCGGCGAAGAGACTTTCATTAACGTCACTTCCCGGTTGAACGGGTAAGAACAGGCAAGTCAATCCATTGAAGATTGCCTATAATGGAAGATGGACGACTCATCGCTTCTGCCCAGAATCACAATTGCTCGCAATTTTCAATGACGGAAAGGTCATTCATTTTTCAAGTACCATGGGGTGACTTAAAAGGGGAGATTTACCGTTTTTGCTGGACAAAACCAAAAGAGATGCTTCCAATTCCCAATTCCATGGTTGAAGAATTTGAAAAATTCGGATCAAACTAGGGCTGACAAAGCCTCATGAGAGACAAGAGCCAGAGAAGGAGAAAACAACTGGACATAATCCATTCAATTAGCCATGAACCAAGAATCATACTGTAATTCTGTATTTTTCTGAAAAGAGAACAAGAAAATTTTATTCTATTTTTTTATCAATTGCAAATATCAATGTTAAGTCCTTTGTTTCTTTTCTCTATTTTTGTCATCTCTATTTCCTTTTTTTTTGTCTGAAAAATTAGCTTCACTTCATGTCAAAACAGGGGAGACCCCTCATACATGCCAAGACAAAGGAGCCGGACTAAGGACCCTTCAGCCTGGGCACTTTCCTGGGCAAACTGACTTGCAAGAATATTGCCAGTAGCCTAACCCTGCCTTTCTATACACAATTTTCAATATATTAACCCTAACCCATGTACAGCAGCTTTCATCACCCAAAAGCTCTATTTCCATTTATAGGCACTCGTTAAGCTGGTTAACTCATCAGTACAATGCAAACATATATTAATTCACTTATGACAACCTTTTTAATGATCATCATGGCCTTTTTTTTTTTTAATAGACATTCAAGTAATCGTTGTCTAGGTGCCCTTAAATGATTTTATAATGGATTAAATAGAGACAAGAGGCACCAAATTCTCTTTGAGATTTGAATTGAACACTTTTTACTTGTTTTTGTTTAATTCTCAATTTATCCAAAGCATGAAGATTAGTTTGGTTTTCAGATCGGATAAGAAATAAATTACTAAGCAATGGCCTTAAAAATAATGAAGATAAAGTCTGTGGTCCTTTCCTTGCAATGTTTGTAACATTGATGGCTAGGCTACGAGATCGTTCTCTAAGCCTCAAACGTTGCTGATTGCTCAAACGTTCGAGGTGTGGCTGCCAATCGTTCGTTCTTTATTTGTCTGCAACAATT